TGGCATAGATAGTTAATGCCTTGAAACCACAGAGGGTTTTTGGCCCATATTAGTATTTGATTTCTTTGAGGATCAAAGATCTAAACTTAAGTCCAAAAGGATCAGAACAAACAGAACAAAGTCACTGGAGAACACTTGCAACATGGAGTTCAGCCCAGGCTCTGTACCCTACAAATGCATCAAATCTTTTTACAGGTACTGTCTTTGGTAAAAAAAAATATCTGAGAACTCAAATCATGAAACTGTCTTAAAAATACCTGGTCCAAGCAGCTGAAATAATTAATATTTGTTACATTGGACTTTTAACCTGATGAAGTTGACCACCCATATAATCTGTGAGAAGGAATCTGTATATTTACCCTGCCTTTTCTCCTTGCTTGATATATCTGCTGAGAAATGTGTCACAAGCTCCTGTTTCACCCGAAATACTGAAAGACCAGAAATTACTTTAAAAGTAATCATCTATGCTGCAGAGTTCTCCCACTGTATCTGTTTCCATCCCATCCTACTTTTCAGCTATTGTAGCAGCAGGATCTGAGAGATGGGCCTTTTGTTTGTTCTAGAGGAGAAAACCAGCCTTTCCCCTCTGTTCTAGCCCCTGGGTATTGCCAGGATCCACTGAGATCCAAAATGTCTCTTTCACAGCTGTTTCAAAACATGTTGTCTGATAATCCTTATTTTCCTCATTGTTCAGTGCATAAGACCAAGCAGTTGGGAAAACACACATTTGACTTGAGGTTGATTTTAGCAGATTAAAATACCGATTCCAGTTACCCTTTCATCACCACCTTGTGGTCATTCCAGATGATGCTGTAATGTTTCAAATATACATTAAAATGAATTTGAAATAAAATACTTTATTCAGCCCAGAGCCCAAAATTTTATTTGCTCACAGGAGTAGAATATGGTGAAGGTTATGTGGTGATAAAATATTTTTGAAGGTCTACTTTTCGTGAACTTTAGGAGAAAGAATTTACCACCATATGATTTTTACCTAATGTAATTGCTTGAATAGATATGGCATAATAATTGGTCATCATTATATGCAGGTTTGTCTTAAAGTATTTAAATTGAAAATTTTAATTAGATTTTTTCAATCCATACTGACAATCACTTCTATTTAGACTCCTGTGAAGATTCATCTTTTTTAAGTAAGTTTATTCTTCTGTATATTTGAGAATAAGAAAAGTGACAAAATAGAAATTAATGAGAATTCTTTTCACATTAAGTCTAAAGACTTAAGAATTTAAGCATTGTAAGAATTCATGCTTCAACCCTATGGCATAAGATCTGAAACAAGCAGAACTGAATCAGGGGAACATTGTCTCTGATGTACTTGATAGCTGTAATTTAAATCATTGTTTTCAAATCAAACATTGAATTTGTAGTTGCCTCTCAATAAATGGGCCAGAACACAGGAACAGTTTTTATTGTGATAAGGTATATATAGGAAGGAGTTTGATAATTCAATATTTTTCCTGGTGTAATGGGCTGAGACTCACTGGTTTAGAGGGTTGTTTGTGCTTGCCCTGTCTCTTAACATGTTGTGTTTAGATGACATTATCAGGCAACACACGAAATGAATAAACTTTACTTGACTCAATGTAAGATAAACTTCTGATGTAAAGATATTAAGCAAATCATTTAATAGGAAAAAGTTCATATGCATGAGTTGAAATACCAGCTGCAGCAAAAATAAGCAAGGGCCAACAAGCCTGCTATTGAAAGACAGCAGTAAGAGAAGATTAGGCAGGCACCATCATTTTTGTATTGTTCCACCAGGTGCATTGTGAGCATTTGCAATCTTATCCTGATGATTTAACACCAGAAAGTTCCAAATCTCTGAGATCATCCCAGCCAGATCTTTTGCACTGTTTGTCAGGCTAGAGCTTGTAGATTTTTAAATTCTTTTGCACAGAGATAAGTAGGGGTCTCTCCAGGCTGATTATTATCCAAAGAATAATCCAACTGAAGCCAAATCCAAGTTTGATTGTGAATAAAAGTCTGGATGCTGACAAAGTCTATATGAAGCCCTAGCACTATGTGCACTTTAAATGCAGCCCTCTGAACCAAGGATGTCCTGCTCAGTGGTAGCTATGAGTGACACACAGCCCATTTTACGATCCTACAAATAGTAATTTGTACTTTAAAAAAACAAACTGAAATTTGTTATTAGCTCCCTTTTACAGCAGATACTCGTGTAGTTGAAATTCTGACCTTTTATTCTGTTGTAAACAGGAGCTAAATCTGACTGCAGTAGTGTTACTGTGTTTGCAGTCTCATTACTGAGAGAAATCCAGATGAAGGAGATATATGGGTGTCTGCAGACCTTGATAGATACCTCATAGCCTTATGGCTGTTCTGCCAAGCTGGGCACTATAAAAACCCTTTTAATGGTAGCTAAAATCTTCACTGATAATGCAATAAAGGATGGTGGCTGGCATTAGTTCTTCAGCAGTTCTTTTTATTTCTAAAGGGGAAAAAAAGTATCTAAATCACTGATATGATTAGGACAAAAGTTTCCATTGGCTGTTAGAATTACGTGTCTGAATGAGATTTCAAGGCTGAAGACAGTTAAATTCCAGAGAACTTAGATCTCTAGTCAGCCTTTTCTGTCATATCATCCAATTATCCTGGAGCATGTTTATCTCTGGAAGAGCAGTTCCAAAGAATAGTCTGATTTGCCCATTGCACTTGTGCTCCTCTCATACAAGGCACAAGCAGCTTTTGCACTTCATATTCAGGCTTGATCTTGTCTGTCTCACACAGGTCTTCCATACAGCTGGCTTGTGCCAGATTCCTGTTGTGCAGTACATCTTCAACAACCAGAGTCATGGCTCTCTCTTCACTTCTGTGCCATGACAACCCCATTGTTCTGGTGGATTATTAGGTCCTTGAAGCTGGGCAGCTTCCACCCTGTGTCATTTTGCAGAGCTGGGCTTCCTGTACCTTCTTTGCCTTGCCTCAGTTATGGGGCTGATTTGTGGCTGATAAATCCTACAGCAAAGCTCAAATGGGGTAGGAGTTTCTTCTTGTCTGTGTTTCATATCAGAGAGAGTTTTCTTATTCTGAGCTCGTGGAAAAAACGTATTCTTTCTTTAGGACTGAAAATGTGAAAATTACACAGCGTCTCTCCAGTCCTTCTACAAAATGGTAACAATATGTGGTTTCTTATGTTTATGGTGTTGATGATTTTGCAGTGAACTGGTACTCAGGCATTAGCAAGAGTGGAGTTCTGAGCCAGTGTCCTGAAACTGAAGGCCTCCCAGATACTTCAAGAGAACCTAAGGAATGGAGCAGAGGCCATGGACACTTGGCACATTCTCCTCAAGCTTGGCAACTAGTACCAATCCTCTTCCACATGCCTCTTCTAGTGCATACTGTCTATCTCTGGAAAATTCAGCATCATCAGAACCAAAATCACACAGCCTGGGGGAGCTTGGAGCACTTGTCAGGCCTATTTGTTCATTGAATACTTGCCTACGTGAGAAGCTGTGCTGGAAAGAACCCTCTATTATTGTAATTTGCTCCTGCCACTTCTGCCAGTTATTGGCAGGCCTGACAGGATATCCTAGGTTTGCATTCTTTGCTCCCCATCTCTAAAATACTAAAACAATCATATGACTTATCTCAATGGTAGAGAGTTAGTTGCTTAGATACATGACCAGCATTCCCATTTATAATAATCAAGCACCTTTTTGCTGCAGCAAGACCGCTTTCACTGCAGACTTGATCTTCATGTTAATTAAAAATATATTCAGGGCAGTGTAGCTTTCTGCTACAGGATTCTTTGTGGCTTTCAGTCACGCAGTTGCATTACCACAAAAAACTAATAGCAACCCCAATCTAGTTTTGTGAAGTACTTACTGTGCTACTTCTCAGTGCAAAAGGAAAATGTTCTCTTTGCTCTGATGTCTGATTTACACACCACACTGTCTTTTTTTCAATAAACTTTCAAAAATCCACTTTTTAAAAAACAGTTTACATTGCTTAGAAACTCTAGTGCCAACACAGGCACACATAAAAGCCTGCATGCCTAGCTGGTGCCTCTTAGTATGTTTATAATTTCTCAAATGATTAATAAAACACAGATGGGTCTGTGCAGAAGCTTCTTTTAGCTAACAGTCAACCTACCAATTGTATTAGGTGGAAATCTTACTTTTGCCTGTGCTCTTCAGATGTACTGCTGACGACAGAGTGGTTGTGAGGCGGAAAAGCATAAGAAATGTCTGGGGCACAGGGAATGTCAAAACCTCCAAAATCAGACCACAACAGGTTTATCTCTGTCTCTTGCTGTATGTAGTCATCAATGTGGTCATTCTTCTGGTCATAAGAAGAGAGCTTGGTATGTCAAGGCATGCAAAAAGAAAAACAAAACAAAGAGGTTTTTTATCCAATGCAGACATATTATGGCTTCTGTGAAAATTCCCAATGCTGGTTGCAACTTCATTTGGCTCAGTGATACAGGACAAAATAAAATGGAAATAAACCTATCCACAGCATCTGCATGTTTCCAAAGAACAATTCAATTCATTTATATCCCAGAAGCAAGAACAGCCATAGAATTTTTCTGTAGAAAAGTATCCTTGTAATGTCTCCCTTCTGGAGGTGCACACTCATTGGCAGATTTGAGGCCTCCCAGAGAGTGAGTGAGATACAAAATACTTACTGAAATTAAGGTTTTCACATGGACTTTGGACACATGTAATTCCAGTAACGAAACTGTGCATTGCTCCTTCTCATCAATGGCTAGAAGGGGCCAGCTAGAAGTAGTTGCAACTGGTCATGGTGTTGACACAGCTAGAGGCAAAAAACAGAAAGAAAAGCTGGCTCATGACTTTCTGCTTCAACCACTGGCTCTGCTGGTTTTGACCCATTTTTTGAGAAAAGTGTCTCTACATGGAATACCTCTGTAAAGTGGAAGCCAAGGATCTCAGTGCTACATGCTCTCAGGACAGCTACTGACCCACACAGGGCAGGTAAAGTTAGACTTTGTTTTTTCACAGCTCTTCATCTTTTTCATCTTTCTGGTACACAGACTTCTCTTTCAGGCTTATGTGATCTACAAGGAAAAAATTCAAAAGCAAGTTCCTAAAGCAAGCTCATTCTGCATGGGGCATATGGACTAAATGTTGTGACAAGAGTGACACTTGCTTGTCACTCTTCCTCAGTTTCCTTCCTGCTCTTCATGACTATTTGGGATTTGGTTTGATGGTCATGGCTATAGATTTCTTCTTGAGATATTCCCATGGGAGTTTTCCTCTGAACCCTAGAGGCTCATGACAAATCTAGCAATCCTAAATCCCCCTGACTTGGGAAATGCAATGAGTCTTGTTCTCTGCCCTGGTACTCACCAAAGGCTGTGTCAGTCATTCTCCATTTCCCTTTTTGGAAATGGCAGGCCTAGCCCTTTGTTTTTATTTTGCTCCTACCTAAAAGCTTAGGATTGGCTTGAATTTCAATTTATACAGATATCTTCCTGTCTCTAGTAATCTTTCTGTTTCAAAATTATATAATTGCTTTTCCCAAGACTCCTAGGATCTGGGTCTACACTCACATATCTGAGTATAAAATCTTATAGCAGCACTGGACTATACCTGTGCTTTCATTCTCTGGATGTTCCTTTGGGAAGAAAGGAACATACAGGACTGTCTTCTTTGGGAAGAAAGATTCAGTGAATAGTGCACTGCATATAAGAATTGTACAGTTATGAAGTCTTTATCCCCTGATTAATTCTGGCCAGGCCTTTATGAGAACTCAGCGCTAATAGAAAGACAAATACTACAAAACATTTACCACCAAATCTCAGATATGTCACTGCTTCAGGTTTTCAGATGAAATATTATCCACACTTTCTAGTGTGAGAAAAATGTTAATCTAAATGAAAAAGTAAACGAAAAAATATCAGGCTGAGGCAGATATTTACCACAGTAAATTCCAGCCCAGACTCATAACATTTGATAATATGATAAACTGAGACTTTTATAGCGGGAACTCTTGCACAATCTTAAGAGTTGATTGTTCCCATCCTATCTACAAGCACTCACTCATGATTCTTCACAGGCTTGCCTAAAGCCTGTTTGTGAAAACAACATGCTATAATTTTACCAGACTAAAAGGGTTTTTCTCCTGCTCATGCTTCAGGACATTCTTTTCTGGAATTTCTGAAATAAAGCTTTTTAGGCTCTCCTTTTTAATCTAATCCCTTTCCAAAGTGATACATTTCACTAAGCAAAAGGTCCTGAAGCCACTTCTATGACTTCCATTAAGCCCACTGCATGAAAGAAAAGGGTCCCTGGATCAAGATGCCACACTCTGTAGCCTAACCTAAGCTCAGCCTTGTTTCAGATTTCAGACTTCCTGTTTTCTATTGAGCAGGTAATTGAATGTAGTTTTCTAACTATAATCCTATGCATATTAGAAGTGCTATTGTGAGAGTAAACATGCTGAAGATTAAGAGGTGCTTACCCAGCAAGGTATTGCTAACGTAGGATAAATAGAACAGAGCTCTCTGGAGAGCTGACACACTGAAAATATGGGGGTGGATTTCTCATAATACCCTGATGGACAGATACATTAAGTAAAACTTAAAAGAACCTGTGGTCACAGATTTTCTCCCTTGCAAATAAGCAATCTGTGGCAGGGGAAGATTTGAAACTTACTGATCTCTCTTTTGGTAATGGAAAGTTAGAAGCAATGGCTTGTTTTCTCACAAGAAGCTCCACCTACTCTTTGTTCACTTTGCACCATTAGTGTGAACATACTACATACTACATCAAGACGATGATAGGAAAAAATAGCAAAGAAAGTTATATGTTAAATGCACATTATTAAAGATTTGAAAATTAGGCAGTTAGAAGCAGTAAGAAAAGGCCCAAACATTGCATAGCACACGTGCATTATTTTACAGTCAGTAATTAGTCAGAATGTGGCAGTGTACACAAACCACAGGGAAAGACTATGCAGAAAGAATTAACAAGGGACATTGTTATTTTGACCATCTGTGGCTGGGCCTGCACAGGAATGACCTGCAGCTGAGGCAAATATAGGAGAAAAGAAACTGCAGGGGAAACAGCTTTATTAGAAGATCTGGTGATAGCCTTTCACTTGCTTGACACTGACACCGCGCTGGAACTTGGAGTAGTGTCTTCTCCTGGCCTGAGGTGTGCTCTCCTTCCTCCCCCAAGAGAGTTCAAGAATGGATTATCTGCAAATGGGCAAAGCTCCAAAGTCTGTTTGTGATCCTGTGGGTTCCAGGATGTGATGCTGAGCCTTGCTGTCATTGAGAGAAGAGAAACCTGTAGCTGGGTTTGTAGAAAGGAGCTTCTAAAAGAGATGCTACTGCTTTCTTTTCTCTCATGATCTGGCTGGATACCCCCATCTGCAGCAATGATGTTACTACTGCAATCTCAGCATGACAGGCCCTAGCAGGGAACGACCAGAGCAACTTCTCTGTGGCACTTGGAAATTTTGACCCAGACTAGTGATGGCTCCTGGCCATTTCCAAGTTGCTTGGGCTCAAAGTTGAATGAAATGTTCAGAACAAGTACACTTGTTAATGAGGTGTGTCCTCACAGTGCATGCAAAGCTCAACTGATTCAAATCAGTTGTGTGGCTTCCATTGTGCTATATTTGTTTTCCTACAGAAGCTCACTCACCAGGGCTACTACAATATGTTTCTTTTATTTCTGCAAATAAGGGTGAGGTAAAGGCTAGGTTTGAAGAAGAAACAAAAGCAAAGATCCAATTAAAATAAATTCCAAGATTCTATATTTACATGACTACTTCATTTGTCCCAAGTCTTAGGCTGTACACTTCATCTGAGCATTATTAGGAATGATTGTACCATAGAAAGTAATTCACCCAGGACTACATTCACCAGCATAATGCCAAGTGCTACATGAGTACAATATTTTGCTGCTGCATCATGAGTTGACATACAGAACAATTAAGCAGCTGGGTGAATGTGGGCGAGAAATTATGTTCTTTTCACCTCCAACCTTTTCTCTGCTTCAAAAGTGGACTGAAAATTCTATTTCTCTTACATTTGCATGGGAATACATTTATTGGTAAGCCTCCAGATATTTTTTAATCTGGTTATTCATATCTTGGTGCATGAGACTACATAGACTTGCCAATGTTCTTTCTCATGGGTTTGTTACATGTAAAACCAAGGTAACAGTTCTAAATATGCTATCTATTCTTTAATCTCTATCTTATGAATCAGGCAAATAACAACACTTATCTTTAAGGGCAGACAGAAAGTTTAAACTAAGCCAAAAGAGCACTTGATTAACTGTGGGATTTTGGGGTTTTGGGGGGGGGGGCTTTTTTTGCATTTTTTTATTTTTGGGTGACTTCAGGGAAAATTCAGAGGTCTTTCTAAATGTTGAATCTGAATACTTAATTCTAAGGCATTTTTGGTTGAAGTAAATTGAGGCATTCATAAATTCAACATTAATCATAAGGGTATATTTCCAGCTCTGCAGCTGTACATCAGTGTCACTGTGCACTTATTTGCCCTTACTTTTCCAGCTTGTCCATAGGAAGGAAGGCTGTAGAAGATCATGCCAAAAGTCTTTAGGAGAAGGCATACAACATTGCCTGCTCTCCCTGCTGCCCAGAGCAGGTCAGTCCCTACCTTGGTTACACAGTCACTGCTGAAGCCCATGTTATCACTAGTGAGAGTGCTGCAGGGGCACGCATGAAACACCAACAGGCCCTCACAGAAATATTAATTTCCTGGAGTGCACAATTTCTCTCACTTAAAATGTGCACCTTGTTTTGTCCAGAAAATGCTTTTGTTTTTCTGAATGATTCCCAAATCTGGTATGCCTTGTTGAAGGCATGTGACTCAGCCTGTGTCTCACTGGGCAGGGGCCCCTAGCAGCCACTTGAATCTGCAGTCTGCTCCAGAACAACCTCCTGTCCTCAACTTTACATATCAGTAAAAAGCACAGTTTGATGCACATTGCTCTGAGCAGTTTCAGTTATGAGATTTTATTAAAATGAATCTTTTGTCTACCTTTTTTTTTTTTTTTTTTGAGGAAAATCTCATTATGAGTGCCCAAACGCAGAGAAATCATCAGTTTACATCAGGCCAAAAAGTCACATAAGAGCAACTGGCACACATGGATATGTAGCTGGAAACCTCTAGATTTGGGGCTTCTTGTTTTCCTAACAAAAGATGAACATTTTCCTAAGCTGCTTCCTGCCACTTGTTGTCCCAAAAACAAACCCCTATGACATTCATTCCTTTTTCCCATTTCTTCCAAGAGTGGATGAAGAAAGGTCATTGTGATACTTTCTCTGCTGTGAGTTTGCAGTGTGACCTTGTGACAAGGAAATCTGAAGTCAACCCCCTGACTGGCCCTGTCCTTCTGGAAGACTTCCAATTCTTGGAGAACACAGGCCAATATCATTATACTGTAGCTCCTGCAGTGACTATTTTTTATTTTTCCATTGAGCTGCTGATTAGCAGCCTGGTTCTAATGCAAGTGTCCAACAGCAGTGGGGACCACAATGCTAAGAAGAAATTGGTGTGCATTTCCCTGACCTCTAGCTCTGACAGCTCCTTCCTCCCAAACAGGTCAATCCATGGGGTCATGGATGAAATAGCAAGGGGCATCACGCTTGCCAACAACCTGAATTTGTCAGAATCTATTTCCTTTGGTTGGTATTAGGGGTTTTGGATAGTTTTTTGTTTGGGGTTTGTGGGTTTTTTTACGTTTTATTTTGTTTCGGCTTTTTTTGAGGAAGACAATAGTTTAATACTGGTATATGTGAAAAAAAACCAACAACAACAACACCAACACCAACAAAAGACAAGTACCACAAAAAAATGCATGCAATTTTTTTCTGCTGTTGTGATTTAAGCCTGGCCAGCAACTAAGCCCTCCGACAGCTACTTGCTTATTAACTACTTCCCCAGGTGGGATTGAACAGAGAATTTGAAGGGTAAAAATGAGAAAATTTGTGGGTTGAGAAGAAAACAGTTTAATAGTAAAACAACATTGCATGTGTAGAAAAGCAAAACAAGGAATTCACTCACTACCTTCTATCAACAGACAGCTGTTGAGCCATCTCCAGGAAAACAGGGATCCATCAGGCATAACAGCGGCTTGGGAAGACAAATGCCATGACGCCAAATTTCTCCCAGGGTGTGCTGCGTGCTGATTAACAGCTGAACAGCAGTCATGTCTATAAACTCAATCTAGTACATGCCAACCAAATTTGTCATCATCATGTACTGAACACACCAGCAAGAAGGGCAGTGTTCAGTGAGAGGAAGGAGAGATGCTCTTGTCTGCTCTGGGAGTTGCCCTGAAGCCTGTGCTGAAACTCTGACTCCAGAATGCTCAGGTTGTTGTATGCTCTCTCCTGCAGAAGGATTTGGGACGGCTTTGAGAGTAAATAGAACAAGGAGTAGGGGTAAGGCTTGTTACAGAACCCTGTGGACTCTGATATATGAATCTGATCTCTTTTACCCTCATGGAGGAGAGACCCTGACCTATTTGAATGGAAACTGTAACAAAAGCTATCAGCTATTTTTCCTTCGGGCTGGAGACCTGGCCAGTCTGGAGAAAAGCTGAAGAAACCCAGTAAGTGGAGCTCACAAAGAACATGTCCTGAATACCACGGACACTGATGGCTGTGGCTGACCTAGGTCACATCTCTTGTTGGTATCTCTGGAACTGTGACGTGCCCTGGAGCCTGTGAAGAGAGGGAAGGGAGCTGACCCTCTCTGTGTGGTCCCTTTGTGCGTAACACAGCCCGTGAGAGCCGTGAGAGCTGCGGCTCTGCGGACGGCCCAGCCCCAGGGCGAGCCTGCCATCAGAGAAGCTCTGAGCACCGAGCTGTGCAGGGGCAGCTGCTCAGAGCTCTCAGCTGCTGCACAGAGGAGATGGAGCTCAGCACGAATTGTGGGCAGGCAGCTGATGAGAACTCAGAACCAGGAAAGCTACAAATACCTGCTAAAGTCCCTGTGGTTTTCTGCTTGCTGGCCTCCAGGTAGTTAGGTTACCATAAAGAATTAGCAGTATTGTTTTTAGCTTCTGAATTGTTTATTCTTCTAGCTCTTATCTCTGGGTGCATTCGCATTGTGTGTCAGCTCTGCAGAATGCAGACTGTGCTGTGACCAAACAGCTCCATGTGTTAACAGATGGACAGAATGGAGCTGGGTCTGTAAATGTGAAAGGAGCAATAACATGGTGCTGAGCTAGCAGAATCACCGTCTGCATCCTGCTGGTGTCCTGCAAAAACCTCCTCAGGCAGGGATTACAGCAGTGTATTGGCTGCACCAGGAAAGGGTGAGAGGCAGCAGGGCAGTGGTAGAAAAGCTGCACAGGGGAGGGAGTGAAGTGATACAGCATTTCCTCTGAGGTATTAAGCTGGATAACTGTTGCATACGTTACTGTGCTGAGGCTGAAAAGTAGGATTTTTTGATCTTCGATGTTTAGATGAGGAGTTTGGCCCTGACTCCTTCAGTAGCTGATTCAGATGTGAGATGAGGCTCACAAAGCTTGAGAGATGCGGTCAGGCCTGGGTAGAAGCAGTGAAGGAACAACAAAGATCTAGGTCGTGTTCCAGCTTAGACTTCTCTGGTCTCTGCCTTCTCCTCCTCCTTGCACTTGTCATGCAAACTAACTCAGCCTTAAACAAGTATTCTTCCATGGTTCAGAGGCTTAGCAATGGCAGTATGTCATCAGATGAACAATTAAACTCAAGGGTTCCTTTGTGACAGGACCAGTACGATGTGTTTAAATAAATTAACATTCAAGACCTGTGTTCTGTGGGCTGCAGCTCTCTGGATTATGCAAAGGGATAAATTAGAGTGAGCCTTACATCTCAGGATTGGAATAATTTCTGTGCTTCATGTAGCACAGAAATAACTGCTCAAGCTCAAAAAGATTCTCTCTCTTTTTTTTGTTTGTTTGTGGTTTTTTTTGTTGTTTTTGTTTTTGTAGCTGGTAGTGGAACACTTCAAAATTTTTATTGCAAAAATGAGAGCTGTTCAAGTTTATCTTTAGTCCTGTGTGGTCATCTTGGGAAAGCTGCTGCTCAATTACTACACTGTTATGACACAGGGGAAACTTGGGATGCTCAATGGAGAATTAGCAAGCTTCATTTATTAATAAGAGCATCAGACATTTATGCACAATAAGTAATAAGCTCATGCATATTCTGTAAATTAAGCAGTCTATTGGTTATACTACAATATCAGCTCTTCCTCATACCTTAGGAGTTACATCTCTCTTTTCTCATATCTCTTTCCTAATTACTGCATCTTGTTATCACAATACAGCCATGTTTCAAGGCTACAATGTCTTTGCAGGTGTAGGAACTAGATTAGCTGGGTTCGGTACTTTTCCAGCTCTGAGTCAGCTAACAAGAAAATATCTACATGACCTCTGTCATGTAGTCATTCCTCCACACTACACACAAACATTTTTCTGGATTTTTTTTTCTAGAAGACATGCTACTTAAATACTAGAATAAAAGGTACCTGAAATGGAATTACTTAATTTAATACAACATGAGTTAATTTCCAATTGCATATATGTTAGATTTGACCTTATACAGAAAGATTGATTCTTGCATGCATGGTAACAGCACCTGTAGTTGCACTAGAGAGAGGATGGAAGACAGAGCTGACAGGGTTGGGGAGGATCCAGCTTGCAAGCTGTGCTTCTGCACAATTACACTGGCTGCACTGTAGATGTTTGCTTCCTTCTTCTGAGAGCTCTGGTTCTTGCTGAGTTCTTGCTGCAGGCTGCATCACTGACATATAACAGCACTTTCTTTCATCTTTGCTCAAGCCCAGACACCTCTGCAGGTGGAAGTTGCCTTGGTTTGCACCAGTTTGACATTGTCCTAGGAAACAAGGCACCAATACCATAAATGTGAGGACAAGGCTGTTGTTGGAATGCAGTTTTGGTTTCTAGGAGTGTAAAAACAGAATTCCTCCCTTTTATTTGTTAGAGAAACCCAATACCATAAGGCTTCGTGTCTGTGGTCTCACATGAGCATGACCAGAGCTGGCCATGCTCCAGCCAGCACCCAAAGGAGAGATGCCAAGAGCCCTGGCACAGAGTGGAGCTAAATTGTGACTCAAAGACAGCAGTTAGTTCTGCCTCTGGTGTTTGCAGAGGAATTCGAGGCAGCAAGTGCACCTTGTGCCAGAGGCCAGCTTAGACAGACTAATCGGCCAAGCTGCCAGAAATCCCCAGCAGTTACAACAGCAGCAGACCTGTTCAGCTCTCATGCAATATTTCCTGCCTTTCTATATTGACCCTGCCTTCCCTGGCTTGCTTTGCCTAGCAAAAAGGAGGCCAAAAGACTGGCTCTGAGCTCAGATGGGTATTTTGCTGCTTCTGTAATCTTCATTGCCTGGCAATGTTTATTCAGATCCCTCCATCAGGTGAAAACCCCCTAACTATTCCCTTTGTACTTTTTCTTCTGAATGATTTATGGCAGCAGGAAGAGCCAGGTGTGGACTTCCCTCCCTCCCTCCATGTCTGCCTCAGTCCTCAGACAAAACTCCATGAACATGTGCAGGACTGATGGGTTTGGGACAGACTGGAGTGACTGTGCATGCCATTAATTAGTACCAGAAGTCCTTCTAAGCTCCTCTGGACTGGCCAAAGGGGTTTATGTGTATTGTGTCCCATACATACCTATTAAAGAAGATGTAAAGCTCAAAAGCAGCCAGCAAGAACAGGAGACTCATAAGGCCGATAAGGCTGATGACACAGGGAAGAAAGAATCCAGTCTTCTCTAAGGAGAAACAGATGCTCTTTTAGGTACATCTCACAGACCCTGCTTCCCTTGTGCCTCTGCCAGGATGGCATCTCCTGGACAATACTCTCTGTGTGCTGTACTTCAGAGCATGACCTAAGACAGCTCGAATACAGTGCCAGACACACAACTGGGATGCCCCCAAGTCCTTGATGGAGGAAGCTTGTCTTTCACTGTAAGGCCACTCCTGCCCCAGCACTGCTGCAGGCTTTGCATGTGCATCCAAGCAAATCTCAGCTCTCATTCTCTTCCGTATGAGTATTTCAGTCAATTACATATGGCTGCACACAACTTCCCAGTCACATCTTAAGCTTCAGACTCTAAAGCCTTCACCTACCAGCCAGCTTTGAGAGCTGTAAACTGGATTTCAGCTTCCTGTCACAACCTATGTGTAACCAAACAATTAGCAACATGTAATGGCACCACTGGATTACAATACATTGATCTGGGTGATCGTACCATTGACACATTTGTGTGTCATGACCTTCTGAATTAATCCCACCTTTCCATTCATCCCTGGAGGTGGATGGCAAATCCACTGCATCCATCTTTCCTACAACTTCACAAAGGGTTTTATAGTTCTGACAGTACCTGTGTTTATCCTTCCCTCTCCCAGCAAATTTCTTACTGGAAACTCAGCTGCCACATTTCCTGCTGCAATCCTGCCAGTGCCACTCATGTTTGCTTGGTACATGAACAGAGGGCTGAACAGGGCTCTGAACACTGAAAGCACAAATGGAAGCTCACCTGAGGGACAGCAGGCTATGGACTGGCTCCAGTTCCCAGCTGGGTGGGACACCATGCAGGTGATCACACTGCTGACACTGGTGCTACATGCTGTGAACTTGCTGAGAACAGTCACTGTCCCGTTGTCGTGGCACTTCTCCTCTGCAGTGGAGCTGCCCTCTGGGGCCCAGGAGAGCTGAGCCGGTGGCTTCCCCGCCGCTGCCTCGCACACGGGGCTGCCCTGCTCGTCACAGGACAGGCTCAGCCTCGGGGGGGCTGCAAAGCACCAGCAAGGGGACAGGCATGCAGTTAGTTTGGCACAGCCGGGCTGGGCTGCTCTTGTCCTCCGCCCAAAACGAACCTGAACTGAACCCAGTGAGAAGAGGAGAATGAGGCTGGGGCTGTCGTCCCATCCCATCCCATCCCATCCCATCCCATCCCATCCCATCCCATCCCCCAACATGGGCCCAAAACACACGAGATGATGAAGAACAGCTCTCTTTTCCCTTCTGCCCAACTCTTCCCCATCCAGTTGAGCCTCATCACAACCATTCATATCCTCTGTGTGTACATGGGAAATTCCTTCACACCTGTCATTTCTAACTGGACAGTGGAAAAAGGGAGCATGTTGGAGAATGAAGGGAGAATCGACCATAGTTATGCATCGAAACTCAACTTTATTGATCAATCAATCACCTTATATAACAATACTAACGAACTTCATGAATATTCTGTAATCCAACTCCATGATAGGCTAACAGAGAAAACTGTAACCACACCTTTTGTTTTAGAATACCTACAATTGTTTATCATAAGCAGAAACCAAAACAGAAACCCGAAACTACAACAGAAACTAGTGTTCCCAAAACCTCTGCATCTGTTCCCAGGATAACAGGCCTTCCCAAGGACGGTGTTCTGCTTGCCATGGGAAGACAAGCTGAGAACTCCATTGTTTATAGAATGATGCCTGAGAGAGTCTAATTGTTTACACAAATCAGAAGGCTGAGAGCTGTTAGAAACTGCTTTTACTTTTACCTCTTACTTTTCTCTCAATTGTATGTTTCATGGCCTTTTTCTTTAAGCCATTCTTGAACTAACCTCTCCACATCTCCCCCGTTTTTTTTCTTCGAGAGAAAAGAGGTTAGTTTGCCAGGTCTTCTCAATAGTTCTACTGATCATATTTTGGATACAGCTGCAGAAGCAAGGCAAGATAAATAAAAGCAATAGAAGTACACCTAATATCCCTATAGCATATATTACATGATTTCTTAACCATGGTCCCAATCCTAAACTCTTAAGCCATTCATCAATTCCCAATCCTTCTTCTTCCTTAAGGCTGTTAAGCCCTAGTCGTAGCTCTTTTAACTTAGCATGAATAGATACAGAATGATCAGATAAGTTCATGCAACACATCCCTTCAAACTCTTCACAACCATGGCCTTGTGCTAGCAGTAAAAAATCTATAGCAGCTCTATTTTGTAAAACAGCATGATTAACACTTTGTACATCTGCAGTTAGCATATCTAATATCTGTGATGTCTTATTTAATTCACCCTTAGTCCAACACCCTATTTGTTTTGCTAAAGTCATTGCTTTGCTTGCAGCACCCCATGGTAGGAGAGCTGAAACCATCACTTGTTTACATTTACTCCAGAACAACGGATCTCCTATTTGACTACAGTCTAAGTTATGTAAGCTGTGCCTTTCCCTGCTTGTCTTATGACTTAGCTGCATTAGCACAGATATGTTAGGGTGGAATAATGATAACTTGCCTAAATAACAAGATCTAACCTTTTTTTAAAAAAGTGTTCTGGAAGATATAAACTTAGAAAGCAGCAATAAATTAATGCTCTAAGAACTTTAGAATATATGAAAGTAATTTACAGAATTAGCTGCTTTGAGGAAATTATGCCTAAAATAAATATACTAAACAGAATTATTAAAATAAAATTAATTTCAGTTACTCATTCATCCTCTGTGAAGCCTAACAAGACTAATTATAGCAGACTTATTTGCAAAACATGTAAAATCACTTAAATCTAATTCAAATTTATCTATAACAAAATTTACCTGACTTTAAATTCTACACACCTCAACCCAATATAATCCAAACAGAATCTAGCTTTACCCAGACTTAATAACACTCAAACTAAACAGAAACCAATTTCAACAGAACTTAACTGGCTTCAAATCCCACACAACTTAAATCTATATATAATTTAAGCTTTAGCAGACCTCGAACTTGACCAAAAATAAACTTAACAATTTTAACTTTAATAATATTTAACTTTTAACGGCACTTAATTCAAACTTAACAGAATCTATCACTTACTTAACAGGAGATAATTAACAAAACTAAACCTTAACAGTATTTAACATTTAATGGCACTTGATAGATAACTTAACTCAAACTACTTAATAACAGATAAAACTTACTATAGAAATAATATATAGCATTTACTATAACTTACTTACAGGCCTGATTCTAAAATATTAAGCTAAAATAACTTTTCTTCACGTATTTGCTATAGCATTTTTATACTTAAATACACTTAAACAGAAGTTTATTCAAGGTATACCTGCGAAAAAATTCTTTTGAATTCAGTGCTTGCTTTTACCTCTATCACATTTAAACAAAGCTTAAAGAATACAAAAACACAGTCATTACATCTCATACAATCATTCTAACACATCTTAACATCTTCAACGTTTTCAAAACACAGCCCCAGAGTCTGACGTTTCATCAACCCAGCCATCCAGACTTCTGATGTTCAAAGTCTCTGGTAATACAGGTGTTTCCAAGACAGCATAACTAATGCCGAGTCAAACCGGCCGAAATCTGACTCTTGCATCCATTTACGCTGATTTCTGTTTTACAGTCTGTGCTGGGCTTTTGTTTCACAGCGTGTGCTAGGGAGAACAAAAGATCTTCCCAACTTAGGTGAAGAACATCCTGACAGCAATAGTCCTTGGTGTTGTTTGTTTAGTTTCGCTGGTCTTTCAATTGCAATAGGAATCTTTTCTTTTGCTGACAAAAGTTCACAATTATTACGACTGTTAAGTCTTAAACTGTAGCTTTTGTCGGCTGCAGGGCGGAGGGAGAAACGCTCCCGCTTGAAAAAGTGCTCCGGTCCTGCGGCGCTCGTGTCGGAGCGGGCGAAAACTCCCCCCCCGCGCTGCGCTCTTTGTTCACTTCCGGCGCGGCGCGGCTTGGTTTCTGCGGCGGCGGCTCCGCTCTCGGGGCGGCGCAGCCGCTCCCGCGCGGCGGCTCCTGCGGCGGCGGCTTTTGATCTTCCCGCCGCTGCCTCCGGTGCGCCCATGCCGAGTTTGGAGTAGCACAGCACCGCAATTCTACCATAAATCACCGAATTCACACATTTCCGTTAATCCGTAAACCATATGGAAAATCCCTTTACCGTAACTATAAGTCCAAAGTCCTGTTGAATCCTTCTGCTAATTCATCTCTGCTTTGCGCTGCGGGTTACTCCCTTCGCGGCCGTTCAGCTTCGCCCGCGGTGGCTCCCTGTGGTGTCGGGTTAGGGGCAGGAAAGAGCACCGATGATGCAGCAATGGCTTCTGAAGGTGCTTGGCATTCCCGGCGCAAGTGGTCCTCTTTATTTGATGCTGTAAGTGCAGCCGATGTTTGAAGGGGTGCAAGAGCGGCCAACACCTGATTCTGAGCGGATTTTGCCTGTTCTTGTAAACCTACTCCTAACTGTTTTATGGCATCTACTACAAGAGCCTGTTGTCCGTTTGGTATAAGGGCCATCCGTTCTAATGCCTCCTCTATAGTCCAATTTGCACCTAAGGTATTAAGTACATTTCTAGTAGCCGAATTACAATTTTGAATTGAACACTGTTTGAGAAGAGCCCCGCGCATAAATTCTGCGACACCTGCTCTCTCAATCGCGGCAGCAACTCTATCTATGAAAGCACCAAATGATTCGTCTCTACCTTGCTTAATTCCCATATATACAGGTATGCCTCCTGGTTCCTTTACTCTATCTATTGCGAGTCTGACTAACCTCATTGCTTCCCGGCACTTCTCTTGGCCAATTAAAGCTTGTGCCTCAGTTCGAAGAAAAGGTCCCAGACCCATAAGTTCATTTACAGTGACACCATGCAAAGGGTCACCTGGCTGTCTTTGAACAGCTACGCACTCATTTACGAGTCCTTGCCAGTGGGCATTAAATAACAATTGTTGATGTTGGGTAAAAATTAATTTTACTATACCACGGCAATCATTAACAAGGAGAATGCTAGTGTCAAAAATATAGTCTAGCATTTGCCTAGCTGGCTCGCTTTTAAAACCAAACTGGCTGACAGTCGCTCGTAACTGAGATAACATTTTCCAGTCAAGAGCACTGATCGTCGCCTGAAGGCCCCCCCCCGCCTGGGGGGTAAAGACAACTGGACAAGCCAACTCGTTAGCCATGCTCATTAACTCCCGGTCTCCCTTGTCCATGGCATCTTTGGCCAAGGCTGCCCATGCATCTCTTCTATCCCGAGCAATCGTCACCGCCAAGTCGTTTTCCGACCCAGGGACCGACTGATTGCTTTTTGGGAACGGAGTATGCATTTGTGGCCCCGGCTGCTGTGATATAGCAGACACAGGAGAGGCAGAGGCGCTCTGTGTAGCCTGCGGCAACGCGGGCAATAAAGCACCCTGCTGAGCAGCCTGCTGAGCTTGGCTCGTTAAGGGTAATAAAGCGTTTTGCGAAGCTTGACTTATTGGGGGAGGCTGACTTGTTAAAGGAGGCGGCGAAACAGATAATACAGCGCTCTGCAAAGCGTGACTCACCGGAGCCTGGCCCGAAACCTGGCTCGCAGCTTGGCTCGCAGAAGGAGGCGGCGAGGCTGGTAATAAAACCGTCCTCGATGCAGGGCCGAGAGGAGTGCGGGAGTCCTTATCAAACTCCCTATCTCGATCGTATTCTGCATTACGATCATGAGCGGCAGTAGCCTGGCGGGCAGCCCTTTTTTCAGCTTGAAATTGTAAGAGCTCAGTGTTAATGACCCGCCATAATTTACCCAACCTCCTGGCAGTTTTATCATCATCCAAAGTAGCCTGCCACAATAAATCACCAAATTTACCCCACTCAGATAATTCATGGATAGTATGAGGATTAACAAAGATTCCCCTCTCTACACCGTATGCTAAGAGCCCTGGTAACTCTTTCTGTAAATCAATTCCCTTAATCTGCCTCTTTTGCAGAAAAGTTATAAAAAGATCATATGCGGCTTGTCGGTCCATCTCTAAATAAAATTGAGCGCTCTTTGCAGCACCTCCCGACCTCGGCCACACGTACCAAGCTAGGACCCGTCTTTTACGGTCGCCTAGGGCCGGCACGAATCGACAGACTCCGTCCGCTCCGTCGGCAGACTCCGTCCGTTTTTTTATCGTGCTTATTGCCGTTCCGCTGCTGCACCTCGGAACCTGGACACCTTCCTCACCTCCCGTGGTATTCCGTTATCCCCAAGAGCGCTCCTCGTAATTCGGCACGTCCGAATTCGACTATCACGTCCGGGGTCGACCATTTGTTGGAGATGAAGGGAGAATCGACCATAGTTATGCATCGAAACTCAACTTTATTGATCAATCAATCACCTTATATAACAATACTAACGAACTTCATGAATATTCTGTAATCCAACTCCATGATAGGCTAACAGAGAAAACTGTAACCACACCTTTTGTTTTAGAATACCTACAATTGTTTATCATAAGCAGAAACCAAAACAGAAACCCGAAACTACAACAGAAACTAGTGTTCCCAAAACCTCTGCATCTGTTCCCAGGATAACAGGCCTTCCCAAGGACGGTGTTCTGCTTGCCATGGGAAGACAAGCTGAGAACTCCATTGTTTATAGAATGATGCCTGAGAGAGTCTAATTGTTTACACAAATCAGAAGGCTGAGAGCTGTTAGAAACTGCTTTTACTTTTACCTCTTACTTTTCTCTCAATTGTATGTTTCATGGCCTTTTTCTTTAAGCCATTCTTGAACTAACCTCTCCACAGGAGCAGCAGAAGGGAGAAGAGATCTGGGAAATAAGGAGAAAGGAGACACAGAGATACACCCAATGAAATACATGCGTTTATCCCAGCAAGAATCACAGAATGGCTTAGGTTGGAAGGGATCTTCAAGATGCTCTAGTTCCAACCACCTTGCCATGCAAAGGGACACCTTCCACAAGACTGGGTTGCTTCAAGTCCCACCCAACCTGGCCTTTAACACTGGGATGTCGACAGCTTCTCTGCACAATCAGTGTTCCAGGGGCACTATCCTCATAATACCAAATATGTTCCTAATATCTAATCTAACCCTACCTTCATTAGTCTAAAAAAAACCAGCTCCACTTCTGCACATTCCTTACCCAGCATGGTCAGGTGGTACCTTGTGTGGAAATTCCCTTCTGTTGTTGCTGCTTCACAGCTGTAATTTCCCTCCTGGGCTAGTCCCACTTGCCGTATCTCAAGGGCAGGAGGCAGATCTTCTCTGAATATCAAGTTTATGTTGTCACTGCAGGTTGTTCTGTGTGTCTCGTTCTTATCAGCCCTGTGTACCAAGGTGCACAGGCCTCCAGCCTTGGGGGCTATTGTCCATATAAGCAGAGCTATATTTCCGTTGAAAGAGCAGGTGAGAACTGGGCTCTTACCTACAGTCATCACTAACGCTGAGGAGTTGTTCCCTGAGGGGGGAAAAAAAGAGAATGTGTGAGAGGGAGCCCAGGAGTTGTGGTCTGGACTTCACAGGGAAATGTCTGCACTGCTACAAACAAGCGTGAGGCCATGGCTGTGCTCATCTGCACGTTGTCTGTCATCTCTTCCTACAGCTGTGGATCATGGATCCAGTGGCCTGTCACAGTCAACCCCTGCAATACAAATTTCCCACTGAGGATCATCTTAGTGGATAAGACTGGATACTGGAGCAGGACCCTACTCCTGCCCATTGTCTTCAGCGGTTCCGCATCCAAAGGCTGTGCTTGAGTGAGCAAATCCTCCAGCTGGTTGCTCACGGGGCCTGAAATACAGGAATGTGACTCTTGCATCCGGCCACACGACAGTGGCTTTTCTCTCGAACTGTTGCTGCCAACAAAACAAACAACTTTTACTTCTGCATTCATGTGAAATCCCATACAGTGGGATTTGGCCTTGTCTACACCTTTCAGGCATTACACAGGTGCACATAACACTGGTGGAGCTTTGTGTGGGAGGGAAGAATTTTGCCTCATGGCTCAGGGTTTTCTTATATGTGCATTAGTGTTGCCTACACGTACACAGGCAGCCTCTTTTGTAAGGCACTTGTGAGACTGAGAGAAAAAAGGGTCTGAGAGCAGGTTGTAATCCAGTGTGAAGAGTAGCTGAGGGAATGGGACTTTTGTGTCCTCTGGCTTCTGCTGAAGTTAAAAGCCAGCAATCCCTAGATTTCACAATGTTTGTGAATGAAACTTCTCAATTATTTGGTTTATAGGAATAATACCCACACCTGTAGTACAAACAAACCTCTCTTTATCACTTATTTCCTCTTTTAGTTGGCAGCCATTAAACTTTGGGACAGTAAACCACTGATCTCTCAGTTCTCTGTCAGTGGTGGAAAATGAGTTGCTCTTTGCTTTGGCCGAGTAATGGTTTTAGTGACACCTGAAAGCTGTGTATGAGGAGAAAATCTCTCAGGTTTCCTTTTCCCTCAACATCATTGCCCCGTACAGCAGAATCAAAGTTTGAAAACATCCACCCCACTTTTGTTCTGGACATAGGCTGTCCTTTTAATGTAGTCAAGCACAGGTGACAATTTCTGCCCTGATGCTCCATAGCTTCTAGTAACCAATTTCCTTGATTATAGTGGTGACAGATTAAGTAGTTGAGGAGTCCAGGGCATTCCACTGGAGAGAAAACCCATTCCTGTTTGCTGCTAGGTGCAGAGATCCTCAAGAGACTCAAGATCACTTTGTGACCTTTTCCACCTGTGCTAACAAAAGCAAACTAGAAAAAGAACCAGGAATTTGCATAAATAATGTAGATCAAGGAGGGAAAAAGATTATAGATGCATTCTCAGATCCCATATTTTTGGAATTTGCTCTTCTAAGTCTTACTGAAACTTTCATTCTGAATCTTGTGTCATAAAATCTCATAATACCTCACTTGTCAGCACAAGTCACTAATACCTAAGCGTAGAGCTTGACAGGGTGATCATACTGATCATAAAACCTCACATCAATTATGTTTGTAATAAATTTGTTAATTATAATGAAAAATATTATAATCCAAGAAAATCATTATCAGTTTTCAACAAAGCATTGAAAAGCCCAAGTTCAGCACATTATTGGTTGACAAGTGAAAAAATCTATTTGCAGCTAGAAACGTTTTGATTTCCAGATTATTGGTTTTTCCATCAAAAAGTCCCTTCAGCAATTTGTAAAGATCCCTTCAACCAGGCTTTTCTTTCCCAAAGCAGAGTTGAGTACATATCATTCTGATACTCTGCCTTTTCCTCCCCTGCCCTTAACAGAGAGGTGGTGCCAAAGTACCACCAATACCTGTAGTTCCTGTGACTGCAGCAATAGTGAGGACAATGGTGCAAATGCTCTTCCTGACAACTTTCAAAGTAGCTCTTGCTTTTGTGGATGAGAATGCTTTCTTGCACTGTTCAGCTTGCTGTGAGCTCCCCAGCATTCCTGCCAGTGATCCTGAAGCCAGAGCCACTGTTCTTCCTCTACTCCTGAGAGTCCCACAGTGCAGCTACAAAGAGCTGATTCTTCTTCCTAGCATGAGCCTTTCTCTGATGAGAATTGGTGAGCAGAGAGAAAGTGGTATTTGTATTTGCTTTCTTCCCAGCAGCCTTCCAGCCCATCATCCCCAGTGTTACTGTGGAATGACAAAGTCTACAGCAGAACATGAACAAAACCTGACCAGTGTGATTTTTCATGTTTCGCTTGGATCTTGCTGTTAACAAAATTTTTAACACAAGGCTCTTGTCTACACTTGGCAGGATTATTGGCACAGATCAATTATGACATCTGGCAGTTCAAGCTAGCGACCTCAAAAGAGGGTTCAGGCACAAAGACACTCCTGAGCAATTATACCCTTACAATTTGATTCCCTATCCCTCACATGACAGTCTAGACCCAAAGCCACATTAGGGTCTGGGATCTTCTCACTCTTTACTGGCTCTCCATTCCATTACCAAGTGGTTGCTACTGTTGCGGTGTGCTGTAATGTCCCATTTTAGACTTCCAGGTCACATCCCCAGGTGTGCCTACACCTCTCTCCCTTCCCCCTTACCCCCATGCTGAGTGAGTCCTGTCAATCCGGCTTAACATTCCAGCAAGGCTTGTGTGTTTGGTCAGGTTCAAAAGATGCCCCTATGCCCAGGGGTCATTGGCCTGTCTAGGTGTCATCCCCCCCTGAGACCCTGCCCCCCTCACCTGGTTGGGTGGCTCACCTGTTCCCTCCCCTTCCCCTGTCCCTGAGCTTAAAAAGGTGATCAGACCATGCGGCCGGTGTTCTGTTGGAGCAGTTGCCCACGTTCAGACCTCTGTAACCTTGGAATAAACCTCTGGACATTAAACCCTCCAGCAGAATCCTCTCCTTTATCTCTTCACCATCGCCTGAAGCTTTCATCCTGAGGTAAGCGAGTTCCTGACAAGCCTGGACTTGTTCAGTGCCCTGCTGTAATCTCCAGCAAGCCAAGGTATCTCTGGGGTGATACACCACAGTTGCTGCCTTTGGCCCAGCAGCGAGGGTCAGACTGGCCCAGGCACAATATAACTGGTAATATTAGGATTCATATTCCAATAGCTACATCATCATCTTCACATCCTCCCACATCAGTGTCAGTGGGGATTTGGGTCAGCCTCATAGTCCTTGTTGTAATATGGCTGTTATAGTTCATAGCACAGAATCATGGAACAAATTAAGTTGGAAAAGACCCCCAATATCATCGAGTCCAACCTGTGACTGATCACCACCGTGTCAGCTACACCATGGCACTGACTGCCAGAGGTTTCTTCATGTCCAGTGGTTTCTTCAACACCTCCAGGGACAGTAACTCCACCACCTCCCTGGACAGTCCAATTCAATGTCTAATCACCCTTTCTGTGAAGAAATTCTTCGTGATGTCCAACCTGAACCTCCCCTGGCACAGCTTGAGGCTATAGCCTCTTGTCCTGTGGCTTGTTGCCCAGGAGAAAAGGCCAAACCCCACCTGGCTACAACCTCCTTTCACATACTTAAAGAGAGTGATAAGGTCACCCCCAAGTGTTTTCTTCTCCAGGCTAAACAACCCCAGCTTCCTCAGCCTCACATGACTTATTCTCCAGGGCCTTCACCAGCTTTGCTGCCCTGCTCTGGACACACACCAGCACCCAATCTATGGGCTGGCCACTCTTGCTATTAATATGAAAGTAATATTTAAGCTCCTAGGCTTACCAATCATAACTACTTTGAATATTCAGATTATTATCTCCACATTTCACTACAATTCATCTTCAATTTACACAACATATTTGCATAGTTCAGAAAAAGCTCAGTTTTCAGCCTAACAACTCTGTGTATTTCAAGCAAACACCTATTTCAAATAACATAAGATTTTCAATAATCACATAAGAATTTTATCATTGAATTAGGGGAAGGATATTTTTAGTTAACCACTTTAAGTATGCTTAACATAGTAAAAGCAAAATCTCTTGAAAAAAAATCCTCAACACAGCTTCTGCTCCAGCACCGTGTGGTTTAGCAGTGAAGTGCAACAACCATTACTCATGATTCAAGGCAGGTCCAAGGTGCAAAGATCACATGTAGATCCCTGTGATGTGAGACATACCATAGTTTCAACCATACAGTCTGTGGGTAAGGTAGTTCAGAACTACCTGGCAGAGGCAGCATGAAATAATGGTCCAAGTCATGAAACTCAGAAGATTTTAGGGTCCTAATCACTGGGGGTTTAATTGGGAGCAACAGACCCAGGCACCTGGAGAATGTTAGGGTCATTTTAGAAACTAAGGCAGGAAAACTCCTGATAAATGGGAAGAATTCCTTTCAGTATGGGAGCAAGCTAGTCTGGTTATTTTGGGGAAAGGCCTAACGGTTTTGGGTCTGGGGCTTTTTGATAAAGATTCTCCCTCATATCTGATATTCAAAGTGATAGCTGGAAAATCATGTTGGTATTTCTTTAATTAGCCTTTTGGGATTTGAGTCTCTGGATTACAGTCTGTCCACATCACAGAAACTTACTGCATGACTGTGGACAGTGGAAAGGTAGTCTGCGTGATTTAGCAGGGGGAGGACTGCTGGGAGGTTTTGGTTTTCAAAGCCCAAACTCTCAGTCCGACACTCAAACTGGAGCCAGACAGCATGGCAGTATTGTTTCAAGAAGACCACTGCTGTGTCCCAGGCAGTGGATCCAAGCAGCTGTGCTGCTGGACCTGGTGGCTCTCTAACCACCTCCAGCACAGCCCTGGAACTGGTTTCAAGGGTTCTTTGCTGTTAGATTGCTTCGGTTTCAGCTCAGAAGGCTTCTGTGTTCTGAGACCCTGTTTTAGTTGAACTCATAGCTCACAGTCACCGTGGCATCCTGTTTCCTTTATGTTGTTTCTGGCTCTGGACGTACATCACATCTCCGGGAGAGTGACTTAGCCTCCCCCTGCACCCCCCATAACAAATTCTAGTTTTAGCTGCCTTCCTGGACATTTCAGAGCAAGCTCCTAGCAGTTATTAGTGATTCAGACCCCGAGAAAGCAGAGTTTTGCAAAGATTGGCTTCATGCTGCTGCTGCTGTGTCTGCTGCCACAAGGGTTTTTGTCAGACCCGTGTTATAGCTGTGCTCTCTTCTCCATCTCCTGCTCAAAGCAAGCAACAGCACTCACCTTGAAAAGTTCTTTTTCTTTTCACTTAACAGTCAAAAACCCCAAAACATTTAACTTTCAGTGTCACTGTGATATTTTCTGAAAAATCTCTTCACCAGGATTTCCTCTCCTGGGAAGTTGAGAAGCCTCAGAGAAAAATGTAAGTAGTTATCTGATTGCTTCTCCTTGTGTTTTGCTGCTTTGGA